TCCTTTTGAAGGGGAAGGAGACAATCAACTCCCCTTTCTTTTGCTGAATCCTAAGGCAAGAACTTTTAAACCAACTTGTCTGACTTACTTCCCCTCCGAGCTGTAACTGTTCATGCTGCCATCTGCGGATTCCCGACTGGCTTGACGTGTCATCCAGTTTCTCATCTCCACAGCCAACCCAGTTTCTGTGCTTCTCTGGACTGTGCTCTTTAGCTTTTTTCCACCTGCTTCTGAAGAAACAGAACAACATATTTAGTGGTATCAAATCTATCTAATAGGTGAATGTACCTGGAAGAGAACAATATAGGTCACAATAGTTACAAAGACAACAGTACTGCAAAGGCAGTTAACCAGTTCATCCCATTTGAGTATATCACAAACGGTTATAACATACAATTTATTAAGCAGTGCTTAAATTAAACAAACACACACGAGTGAATACAGATGGCGTCTAGGAATGTATAAAATGTAAAAAAATTCATACAATTAATCTAATTACTGGTGTGCATAAAAATAACTTTGCTTGGATAAGATTGTCAGTGAAGGGGACTAGTTGACAACACCAAAACATCACTAGCAATGCAACCTAGAAGTGAGTTCATCACATAGGGTGTTGCTCTAGCATTTACCTGAAACTCCATAGTTTAACCACAGAGCTTGACTGAAATGCTAGATGTTGCCGGACATAATGATGTCACTTCCAGGTTGCCCCAGAAGTGATATCACAGTTCCACCGAGTGACCCCCCCCATTTCCTCAGGAATTACCTCCCCCTGCTCAGCTGAGCTGCCAAAGCAGAAGATCATGCCTCCCTGTTGGCTAATCAATTTCCCCCCACTAATTTTACAGGAGCAGCATTATTAATTTCACTGGTAATATTCAGGGAACCACGCTTCCTCTAGCCATTTGAAACTAAAAAGTCACTAATGATTGGTACAGCAAATAGCACTGTACAGATTTTATTCTCAACAATTTCTAGAAGCAACTATAATATTTTAAAGGATAATTAAGGCTAGAATTTAAATGATATTAAAGGGAAATGTATATAATAATTAAATGTATATAAATAATTAATATGATACTATATTATAATTGAAGGATTGAAGAATTAATCACAATTCCTTGTACAACTGTTGTTTTTTCCACTTTCAGGTGCCCTACAAGTCTTGTGTGTTTGTGATATCACATATTACTTCTCTCATATCCATCAGCATGAGAATGTTCAAAAACTAGAAAGGAATAATTAAACTTTTACTTTAGCAAAAGCAAAGCCTGGTCTATATAGAGATAATATCCTCTTCAAAAGAAGCAAACTCAAGTCAACCACACCAAAAACAACTGAAATGCTAAAAGGACTGCATACATTAATAATGCTTGCAAAAATTTTCTAACAGCAAATTTGGAGTCTGAGTTTACAGTATGTGAATCAAAATACTGCATGTGCTTTAAATAGTTCATTCAACTGAAGTTTATTTACTAAACAAAAATAACACATTCTAGTTTAACTATAACATGATTTCCCAATTACTACTTAAAATTAATGTATGCTGTTGCAAACACAGCTGCAGACCCTGTTTAATTGTTCCAATTATAGGGATCACTAACACAGCCACCTTCGCTCAATGCAAAGACTGTAAACAATGACGTACATTTGTCTACATATGGCTTTTAATTCATAAACGGCGGTACAGACACGTCTATCATGAAAACACTACTGACTGAAATGATTGAATAGTTCAGTCTCATATGTCTATGATTATGCTGCTCATTCTCCTAAGACTACTATGAAACAGAACATAGATTCTGCAAGACGTGTGTTACTTTGACAATCATGTGCTAGATATCATTATAGTCACAATATATTCAGGAATTTTTTTAATGTGATTGTGAAGTCAACTCTACAGCTTTATCAATATACACAAAACAGACCCAATATTGGTATAATTTATTATGGAGAATTGAGACTAGGAATAAATCCTGAGTCTTTTACAGGGCTGAGGTAAATAAAGACATGCCCACAATTCCCATAATATACGTCTCAATAACGTTTTGATACATATCCAAAGTACATCTGGAATTTTTCAAATCTCACAGCACAAAGTGTAACACAGGAGAGAACTTATGACTATATTTAGTTAGGAAACCATTAATTATGGAAGGTATGCTAAACTCTAATGCGTAAGTAGCCAGGATATAGTCCATGATGTATAATTGGACCATGACAATAAAATATGACATTATTCCATACCCCAGTAGGCAACAGTAAAACTCTCAGTGATCTGACAATCCCATAAATGCATCCTTAAAGATTCAATCCACTATTATATTATCTTGTACTGTTGCTGTAGTCTCTGGTCCAAGTGCATGAGAAAGAGAAGGTTAATAAGGTTAATTTCTAACCTGGAAAAATGTCTCTTTGTTAGAGAATGAACTTGATATTTTGCTTTATGGACTATATTTATTGCTACACACAATGGACTGTGCACACACACACACACATAGGGAATACATAGAAACAACGTGGGAATACACACCGACCTGGGAATACAGAGACTGGCCTTACAGTGGCTTGTCTCTTTTCTCCAGGGTCGGGAACAAAGGGTGATGCTTGGGGAACAGCAGTCCGGGAGGCGCCCTCTTGAGTGTGGCGTACCCCAGGGTGCAGTACTGTCCCCGATGTTGTTTGACATCTTTATGCGCCCCCTTGCCCAGGTGGCTCGGAGGTATGGGTTGGGTTGTCATCAGTACGCTGATGACACCCAGCTCTATCTGATGTTGGGTGGCCAGTTGGATTCCAGGCCGGAAGATCTGGACCGGGCGTTACAGGCCGTGGCTGGTTGGCTTCGGCTGAGCCGGTTGAAGCTAAATCCGGTGAAGACGGAGGTCCTGTGCCTGAGTTGTGGCGGTGCAGGGTTGGAGGCCCCGCTCCCGGCCTTCAATGGGGCACTACTAGTGCCAGCGCTGGAGGTTAGGAGTTTGGGGGTGCTCCTGGATGCCTCCTTGACAATGGAGGCCCAGGTAGTGGCCACTGCCAAATCGGCCTTTTATCATCTCCGGCTGGTTCGGCAGTTGGTTCCTTTCCTTGACCGCCGCGACCTGGCGACAGTGATCCATGCAACGGTCACCTCGAGACTTGACTACTGTAACGCTTTCTACATGGGGCTGCCCTTGTCTCAAATCCGGAAGCTGCAGCTAGTGCAGAACGCCGCGGCTAGGTTGCTGATGGGCTCTCCACGGTGGGAGCACATCCAACCAGTGCTTAGGTCACTGCACTGGCTGCCTATAGCATACCGGATCTGTTTCAAGGTGCTGGTGCTTACCTTTAAAGCCCTATATGGCCAGGGACCGACCTACCTGAGGGACCGCCTTCTCCCATATATACCCCAGAGAGGACTACGGTCCGGGGCCCAACACCGGCTGACTATTCCGGGCCCCAAGGATGCAAAGCTCACCAGTACCAGGACCAGAGCCTTTTCTGTGGCGGCTCCTTACTGGTGGAACGAGTTCCCGGAAGAGATCAGGGCCCTGCAGGACCTTTTACAGTTCTGCAGGGCCTGCAAGACGGAGCTCTTCCACCAGGCCTTTCAATAGGAGCCGCCATCACTGTTACCACCAATGTGTTGGCATATTGTATTATATGTATGCAAGATGACAGCCAATGATGCACACATGTCAGAATAAACTGATCTAGGTGACAGGCAAGACTGTCATGTGACAGGGTCACCAGATACAAGTTGCACTAGGTTGCATCAGCTTAATTAACTGTGTCACCATGAGTTGGCAAAATGACTCTGATTGGTGCTAGTATTGTATATAAGGAATGTAGTCCTATAGCAAGGGTTCCACACCAGTGGAGAGTGTACTGCGAAGCACCTTGATGGTCAGTTCTGTGAATCGGGGATACCGCATGGTGGCATGGACTGTGTATATAACTGTAAATAAAAGCCACTGTATATAGCTCATATACAGCATCCTGAATTCATTATTATTCAGACGCTCTGCGCATGCCGTCACAATGATCCTAGCGAAGGCTTGGATCTTAGATCTGGTCCTGACGTAGCGCTAGGCCTTTCGGCGCGAGGATGATGAGTGGTGGAATAACACAGAACGAGATCTGGAAGCACGCCATCTAATTTGTAATACTGTATGCACTTTATTGTTAACTGTAACTTATGTTTTAAAGTAATTGTTTATGAGGTTTTATAGAGTTTTTAAGTTTTATGTATGTCAACCAGGTACATTGTACCGTTCTGTTAGCCGCCCTGAGCCTGCTTGCGGGATGGGCGGGGTATAAATATAATAAATAAATAAATAAATATAGGCTCAAAGAAAGTACCTTAAGGAATGAGTCATGGCTAGAAGGTACAGCACATTCTGTATGGGAAGAAATGGGTTTTTTCCCAGCCACTTGCACATTTTTTTACGTTGTCTTTACAGGAATTTTGCATCAGCCACAAACAACAGCTTTGAAAAGAGACATCCCCCATTGCTGAATTATTTGGGGTCATGGAATACTCATCATTGCTTTGTTCCTGCATTGGTATTTCCTGCCAAATGGACATTTGGTTCACAATGAGAATGGCCAGCTTCATCAACACTACAATGGAGCATCCTGACGCCAAGGTTTTCACACCTGCCCAGATGCCCTTCTTTGAGTAAGATTTTAGGTTTCAATATTGGCTACTCCTGTTAGGTAACCACCCCTCCCTCCATGCAACCAATAGGATTGTTTTTGGGACGGACTAACAGGTAGGTGGGCCAAGAGGTTGGCACGGCCACCACCCACCTCCTGGATCCCCCGATAAAAGGAGAGAACCAGTCACATGGTCTCTCTCTCTCTACTTGATCAACTAGCTAGCTAGCAACCCCCGCAACAACCCCTGTCTGCTTTATACTCCCCTTGAGTCCCACTTGCTATCCCCAAACCCTTGCAGTCAAGAGACCCTCCCCCACAGTCCGGCTAAGTTCTGGTAGTGTGGATCCCTTTAGTTTCTATTTCTTCCCATCCATTCTTCATTGGAACAACTACTCTGCAAGACAGATAAGTATTGCCCATCATCACCCCCACCTGCTAATGCAACTGTGCTTATTTTAATACTGTATTTCTAAGGAACTTGATTGAATGTGTGAGTGCATCAGTATTGTTTGTATGGGATTTATTTTCTTAAGTAAAAGACATTTATTTTAACAAGAACAGCCTCGTTATCCTTCTCTGGTAACCCTTGGTGGGA